GCTTTTTTTTTTCTTCCGGTTTTTCTTTTTTTTTTTTTTTGGTTTTTCAAGACAGGGTTTCTCTGTGTAGCCTTGGCTATCCTGGAACTCACTCTGTAGACCAGGCTAGCCTCGAACTATTGAACTCAGAAATCCGCCTGCCTCTGCCTCCCAAGTGCTGGGATTAAAGGCGTGCACCACCACCACCCGGCTTTTCCGGTTTTTTCAAGACAGGATTTCTCTGTGTAGCTTTGGTTGTCCTGGGAACTTTCTGTGTAGAGAACTCAGAGATCTGTCTGCTTGTGTCGTACAAGTACAGGAATTAAAGGGATATACTACTTAGATTAATTTTTATTACTTTAAAGATTTTTTTATTTATGTGAGTGTACTGTAGCTGTCTTCAGACACACTAGAAGAAAGCATACAGGTTATGGGCCATCATGTGGTTGCTGGGAATTGAACTCAGGACCTCTGGAGGAAGAGTCAGTGCTCTTAACCGCTGAGCCATCTCTCCAGCCCCTATTGCTTTAAATTTTGTCTATGGATGGCTAAGTGCACATGTGTTAGGCCAGAAGTGAAGCTGGAGTTACAGGTGGTTGTGAGCTGTCTGACATGGATGCAGAGCATCAAACACAGGTCCTGTGCAAGAATGGTTTGCTGTCTTCTAAGCTGGGCCATCTCTCCAGCTCCTCTGTGTGTGTGTGGGTGTGGGTGTGCGTGTGTATGTGTAAAGATTATATGTATGAGTGTTTTGCTGAATGTATGTATGTGCACACATACATGTCTCAGAGTTTGGACTAGGCATCAGATCCACTGGAATTAGAGTTATAGATGGTTGTTATCAACCATCAACCATGTGAGTGCTAGGAATAGAATCTGGGTGCTATAGAAGAACAGTGAGTGCTCTTAACCACTGAGCTATTGCCCCAGCTCCTGGTTATATATCCTTTTATGTTTGTTTGTTTGTTTTGTCTGCTTGTTTTTAGAGAGGGTCTCATTATGTAGAACTTACTACATAGACTAGGCTGACTTCAAACTCACAGAGAGCTGTCTGTCTCTGCCACCCAAGTACTGGGATTAAAGTCTTGCTTATATATTCTTAAAAGATAATTTTTATTTGGTTATTCTACTCACTCCTAAGGTAGTTTTATTGTATCCTACAAAAAGGCAAATTTATTTTTTCAGTACTCTTAGGCAAAAGGTGGAACCCTTTGGAAATCTGCCTTGAATAGATGATTTTTCTAGGTGTACCCTCATACTGGCCTGTTTTTACCTGTTCTTTCCTTTTTTCTGGTCAGTGCAAATACTCAAGGCCTCCATAATTCCTCAGAGACTTCTGGGGGTGAAAACCTACTTTCTGCTTTGTAACTTAACAAAAAATTTAACTTCTAATCTAACAGAGTCTCTTTTAGAAACTCTTGGCTTTTCCAAATGGATTCTCATGTAGTTGAGGTTGGCCTCAAAATCTTTCTGTAGCCAGGGGTGACTTTGAACTCTTCTGCTTCTGCCTTCCTAGGGTCAGGATTACAGGTGTATACCACCTTGTCTAGTTCCAGTTTGGTTGATTCTTATTCATCCCTTTTTGTGCTACTTAATTTGTGAATGTCCTGAAAATGAAATGCCATTAAGATTTTTAAAAGAAACCTATCCAAATGAAGTCAAATGTTGTGAGCATTTTGTCTTTTGAAGGGCATATGTTCAGGTGACCATACTTTCGAAGTGTACCTAGCAAACTACATTGCCACTGGTCATGAATTGTATTTCTGGGAGGTGCATAATACTTTTTTTTTGTTTTTTTTTGTTTTTGTTTTTGTTTTTCGAGACAGGGTTTCTCTGTGTAGCCCTGGCTGTCCTGGAACTCATTCTGTAGACCAGGCTGGCCTCGAACTCAGAAATCCTCCTGCCTCTGCCTCCCAAGTGTTGGGATTCAAGGTGTGTGCCACCACTGCCTGGCTGCATAATACTTTTGATCCAAATTGAATTATAAGAAAGTGAAGCTCATCTGTCAGCTCTATAGTGTGATGTAAATCATAGCCTGTGGTGTTCCTCATAGAGGGGAAAATCAGAGAAGTATGTTATCCAGGTGACATAATTGCAAATAAATTAGGAGTGGATGCAGAAGGTCACATGTCTTTAAAAGCTGGCTTTGCAGAGCCATAGGGCATTGGCTTCCAGGTGAAAATGGAGGTCCTTTTCAAAGCAATGACTCTAATAAAGGTTATGTAATACCAGCTGTCACCTGTACACTGGCTGCTCATCATTTGTCACAGGAGAATTCTTTTCCTTGTTTTTTTTTTTTTTTGGTGCATTTTCAATTACAATCATTTTATTATCTGTTTATAGAAACAGGCAGGATCTCTATGAGATTCTCTTCTGGAAACTGTGTACTTTAATATTTTTGATAGTAAGACTCATGATACATTGTCTCCAAATAATTCTCTGCCTCTTAGATCATAGAAACTCATTTCCTAAGGACTGTTCAGAAATGTCAGCCTTCTGGAAGTCTTTCTAATGGCTGTATAGAGCATCTGTGCCGTATTTTGAATTGAAGGCTTAAACAACTTCCCACACATTCTGTTTTTGACTTTTGTATGCAGCAGCCCCTTTAGGTAGACACTTGGGCTTATAAAGTACTCATCTTGTTTAAAACCTGAATGACTGAGATGTTTTAGGTTCACAGTAGTAGGCTGGCTGGCTCTAGCCTGTGAATTTGGCCAGGCTGACACAGCGACCTTAAGGATGTGTGGCCATGGACAACGTGTTTCTGTTGTTTACTCTTCTTGCTTTCTAGTGACTTTATTTTCTGCACAAGGGATTTAGTATCTGTTCAGATAACTTTCCTTTTAAAGGCCACATAAAGTAATGACTTGCCCTCTAATCTTAGCCTTGAAAATTTCCCAGACACTAAGAAAGCTGATGTCTAATGGTCTCTCATTTGAGAATACTACCCAATGGTAGACAGTCAGTGCTGTTTGAAAATTGTGCATGAATACAATAACCAGCTACTCCTGGACCTTGCCTGCGTGATGCTTTTCATGTCATGTCATTAAGACCTTGTGTAGTTCAGAATAACATTCCCTGATTCTGAAAGAGAAAAACCCTTCAGTGTGACTCAGCCTTATCTGAAATAACACATGTCTCTTGTCCAGTAAGAATGTTTAGATATGATAGATTCTATAGGGAAAGACCTACAGTTAATTAATTGTTATTATTATTATTTTATGAGTGTGAACCATCTTCCCAGGATATAATGAAGAACCATCAGTTAAAATAGCTAGACTTAGGAATAGAGAGGTGGCTCAGCCATTAAGAGCACTTGTTGCTCTTGCAGAGGACCCTGGTCATTTTCCAGCACCACATGGCGGCTCATTACCACCTTTAACTCCATTTCCAGGGTGTCTGATGTCCGCTTCTGACCTCCATGGATGCCAGCCATACATGTAGTGCACACAGATACACACAGACAAAACATCATACACATAAAAGTAAAATAAACCTTAAAAAAAGATATCTGGGTGAATGACATCACGGATGAAGAAGTTTAATGATTACTGGCATGAAAGAGTTTGTGGGACTGTATTAATATGTATAGTAAAGTGTATTCATGAAGGAGAAGAAAAAGTTTTTTTTCTCAGATGTCAGGTCTCCAGTTGCTCTGTGAGTGTCCTTTGTTCAGTATCCATGGTAACAGAGTTTCTTAGTGAGATCCTACCTAGGCATCCTGTTGTTTCTTTGAAGTTGGCAGAGAAAAGTCACATGTTGATATCACAGTTTGTTTGGCTTCTTTTGTTAAAAGGTAATGTTTAGGTCTTTGCTGACGAATCCTTAAATGTAGAGAGGTGAAACTCTCCAATTACATATTTATAATTGTTGGGCTGCAGCAGTGGCTCAGTGGTTAAGAGCACTGGCTGTCCTCTTCCAGAGGACTCAGGTTCAATTCTCAGCACCCCTTCGACACCCTTACACAGAAACATATGCAGGCAAAATAACAACGTATATAAAAATAAATTACCTTTAAAAAGTAATCGTAATTGTTTCTTGAAATCTATTTTAACAAGATTGAATAATCTTGAAAGTCATTTTAAGTAATTGGAGTTTTTCCTTGGTTCCAGAAGAGAAATACTTCATTCAGTTCTTTTCCTTGAGGCTCTGAAACAGTTTGTTTTTCCTTTTCCTGCAGCAAGAATTATGAATTTAATATCACAATTCAGTGTTAATACATAAAACTTCCCCTAAATGGACTCTAACAGCGGTGAATAGTATGCCTGACTGTAAAATGGAAAAAGTTAAAATTTTCTGTTTGTGTGTTTTGAGCTTTGCAGAGGTATTACACACTGGGAATAGTAATAAAAGACACTATGGCTTATGCAGTGCCTTTGTGTGAGGAGCTCATATAGACACTAAGGCATTGATCTTAACACAGTGCTCGATTGTGACTTTAAAGGTCATGAGTTACTGCTGTTACAAAAAGCCAAAAAGATGGAAGGACGCGCCAATTTACAAATACTGCTTTAAAAAGTCTACACAAAAAAGACAACTCAAAGTTACTGGAAATTTTTGTAGGTTTTTTTTTTTTTTTTTTTGGTTTTTCGAGACAAGGTTTCTCTGTGTGGCCCTGGCTGTCCTGGAACTCACTCTGTAGACCAGGCTGGCCTCGAACTCAGAAATCTGCCTGCCTCTGCCTCCCAAGTGCTGGGATTCAAGGCGTGCGCCACCACTGCCTGGCACATTTTTGTAGTTTATATGGTGACTTTTTAATGCTTTTGCCGTTTTTTCCTATCTGTAAATATTTTCAATGCCAGAATGTCTTTTAAATAACAAAGCAGAATTTACCTTTATCCCTTTACTTTTTCTTGGCCAATAATGCTTGAAAACTGTTATGGTTTCCAAAGTTTATTTGATGGAACAGTTTTTTTGTCCTGAATCTAGAGGCTTTTGCCTCCTGGGTTAATGTGGTTTGTAACAACTGGTTTTGAGTACAGTAATCATGTGGTATAACTTTCAACTCTTTTGTTTTCTAGGTTTATTCTACAGTCCAAGGAAGTGATTCACAACCAGCTGTTAGACAAACAGAAAATAGCAGAAGAAAAAATTAAAGAGCTGGAGGTATGTATGCCCCAGCAGCCATGACCTTTCAGGGACAAAAGCCGTAATCCCCTTGTGTTATATGAAATGAAAACATGGCCGACATGAGTCTAGGTCATAGTTTGGTTTTATCTAATTTGTCCTAATTATGTTAAAACTGTGTAACAGCCATATCTATGACAGTATTTGAAGGTAAGAAACAAAATTGTTACTGGACAGTGGTGACACATGCTGTTAATCCCAGCACTCTGGAGACAGAGGCTAGCCTGTGAGTTTGAGGGTAACCTGGTCTACAAAGAGAGACCCAGGATAGCTAGGACAGGACTACTCAGAGATACCCTGTCTCAACAAACAAACAAACAAACAAACAAAACCAGAAAAGAAAAAGAAATAAACCTAAAAAAAAAAAACAAAAAAAATAAAAAAAAAAAACCTGTGGACAATTTTAAAGATAAGGTATTGATCTAAATGTATTTTTTCTGCTGCTTTTTTTTTCAAATTATTTATTTTTTTATGTATATTAGTATTCTGCCTGCATGTCGCTGTGAGGGTGTCAGATCTTGGAGTTACAGACAGTTAGTTGTGAGCTACCACGTGGGTGCTGGGAATTGAACCTGGGTCCTCAAAGTTTTTAGTCAGTGCTCTTAGTGCTCTCAACCACTGAGCCATATCTCCAGCCCCCTCTGCTGTCTTTTAGTGGGCAATTTCTTTTTTAAAAAAAAAGTCATAAACAAAAGAATAAATTTAAAAAACCATAAACAAAAGGGCAGTGCACGGTTTAAGTAGTAGATTATGGCAGATGGGCAGACTAAGGGCAGACGTGGCAGCTGCTAGAGGGCCTTCTATACCGTTCCTTTACATGCAGTCCTCTTATCTGAGATAAATAGTAATAATTTTTAATTAATACTTAATAAACAATCTGAGGGATGTTCTGTGAGCCAACGAGGAAAACAAAACTTTAAAACTTGGCTAAGAGGTGCTAGACTAGGAAAGTACAGGGAAACTCAAGTTTGTTGTTACAGTTTCCTCAGGTGCTGGAACCCTTGATGGGATTTTCTTTGGGGCTTTGGAGAAGGGTTTGTCCTGTATGTCACAGAGGTTGCATTAGACCAGAAAATCGGCTGTTTTTTAGGCACCAAGATTTTCTGTGATGAGGGTGGATACATCATGATCTCATAGGTCATGTGATCTAATTTCTGTCAGTACTATTGAGGCAGTCGGTGGTTTAGACTATGACTCAACCCTCTGCTGAACTGGGGAGACAGCCCCTCTAGTCTGTGGGGATTCCTCAGGGGCACTGATCTAGTGTGGCCTTGGAGCCTGTAGTATCTAAGAAACATAAGGGTTTCTTAGTCTTATTTTAGTTTGACTTTTAATACATACATACATACATACACACACACACACACACACACACACACACACACACACACACATATATATATTTTTTGGTGATGGGGGATTTTGAGACAGGGTTTCTTTGTGTAGCCCTGGCTGTCCTGGACCTAACTTTGGAGACTAAGGTGGCCTTGAACTCAAAAATCTGCCTGTCTCTGCCTCCCGAGTCCTGGGATTAAAGGGCAACGTCACCACTGTCCAGCATGGCTGGTAATTTAAACTAACTTAATATATTTGTGTATTGGAAAGATGCAATGTAAAATAAATAAAACAGAAACCATAAGGAAACAAGCCTGTCACCCTGTAGTACCCAGTTGGTTGTTACAGCCTTTAGCCTCCCAGCTGCTTTACACTAAATACCCCTCCTGCAGCTTTCACTCAGGAAAAAAAGAAGTAATTGAAAACCTACATCAACACATTTCATATAGGTTAAACAAAAAATTGGCTTTTGCAGCCAGGTAAATAAATCTAAAAACTGTCCTGATAAATAAATAGCATTTGCATATGCGTGTGTGTGTGTGTGCGCGCGTGTTTATGTTTGTGCACACACGTGAGAGCCAGAGCTCACTGATTTAACTACACTGGCTGGCCAGCAATCCAGGAATCCATGTCTGCTTCCCCGGACTGGTTGTTACAGGTGGACACCATCACACCTGGCTTTTCCACACCGGCACTGGGGATCTGAACTCAAGTCCTCATATTTGTGTGGCAAGTACTTTACCAGCTGAGCCATCTCCTCAGCCCCATTTGGCTAATCGTTTTATGGAAACAAACCAGAACCAAAGCCAAGTTTATGTTTTGTTGTGTTATGGTTTTGAGATTGAGTTTTCTCTAATTCATACTGGCCTTTAACTTGCCATGTAGCCAAAGGTGACCTTGAACTCTAAACTTCCTGTTTCTACTTCCCAAGGTCTGAGATTGCATGTGTATTCCTGGCTTTTGAATATTTTAAATGATATATAAAGCTAGATTTAAAATTGTTAAGCAGTGGTTATTATAAGGAAATGATTTAGGGCATACAGATAAAATGATTTTTTTCTTCCAAAATTGTGTTTATTTATATGGTGATAGGGCATGTATATGCTATGGCTTATGTGTGGAAGAACTTGCAGGAGTTAGTTGTCTTCTTTTGTCCCGTGGGACGTAGATAATGAACTTGGGTCATCAGGCTTGTTAGGCAGTGCCTTTACCTGCAGAGAGTCTTGTTAGTGTGAGATTTCTTTTTTCATATAATCTGTGTTGAATAAATTATAAGTATACAATTGAATATTTTGTGAAAAAATTAATTTGTGTATGTGATATGACACTTGGGTAGAGATCTGAGACTGATCTGAATCTGAGAGTTGGTTCTGTGGTTTAGAGATTAGACTTAGGTGGTCAGGTTTGTGTGGCAGGGTTATACCCCGGTCTTATCTTTTTAGCTTTTATACTTAATTTTCTAAGGGGCTGGGATCACATGCACTCACCACCTTGCCTGACTTTAAATAAGCTGCGAGTGGCGAGAATGGAAGCTGTGCCACATTGACTGTTAGCAAATGTGAGGACTCGAGCTGTCGGGTGACCAGGGACGTGCTCAGTAATATGTCGAGAAGGATCTTTTCTCTGAGCTGGAGGCTTCAGCACCGACATTAACATTTTCAGAAAAGCATGCTGGAAACAGTCTTGCTGTCATCCAGGCTTTGTTGTCGAATAGGGAGCAGGCAGAGAAGATACAGTGTCCAGGGCCCTTGAAAGTTCAGAATAGTAAATGACCCGTTGGCTTCACTTTAAGTCATCAGCCGTATCATTAATGTCTAGTAAGAGATCCAGACTGTCCTTTGAGGCTCTACAGTCAAGAATGGATTTCTCTAGCTCTTGGAGCCCTAGGTGGCACCGTCCAGTAGGAAGCTATTGTTTGGTATAGACATTATTAATGATCTGTTATCAGAGCTGTAGCTCCTGCGCTGACTGCTGCTTCATCTTGCACTCTCATACGGTTGAGAAGTCATCTTTCTTTAAACCTCATGAGTCAGCTGCTGTAGCTGTAAACTACGGGCAACTTTCTCAGCCTTTACAGCTAGAGGCTGGCTTTGGTTTGAGGGCTTGTGGTGGCTAGTTTGATCTTCTGTCTAGACTGGTTGAGTTTCCTCCATCATTGTGAAGGCTCCTGTGCTCCTAATTCATGTGCTCCCTAGAGGAGCATTTTGCATTTCTGCCATTTTTCTTCTCCACATATAACCTGGTTGTTGTCAAAAGTGGCCTTTCTTTGACTTACTTCAGTTCTGGTATGCATGTCTCATTAACTATGTTTAATTTTCTATTTAAAGTAGGTGATGTTGGACTCTTCCTTTGACTTGAACACTTAGAGTCTTTTGTAGGAAGCTATTCACACACAGAGGTAAATACTGTTGTTTCAGAATAAGGAGGCCTGGGAGAAGAGAAAAAGTGGAGAAATAACCAGCCAGTAGACTTAGAGAACACACAGTTATCTATTACATTTGCCATTTTATATGGACATGGTTTGTAGTATTCTAAAACACTAGTGACATCAAAGGTTCAGTGTTGGCTTAGCAATTAAGAGCACTTGCTGCTCTTGCAGAAGACCCAGGTTCAGTTTTCAGCACTCATGTGGTTTATTACAACCATCTGCAATTCTAAACAGCCTTCTCATGCACTGCACAAAGGCAGTGCACATGCATATGTAGTCAGGCACAATCCTCATACACTGGAAATAAAAATAATTAAATCTAAGTTTAAAAAGCTAGTTATCAAGCTTAGATCACCAATAGCAGATACAACAATAATGAGAAAGTTTGAAGTATTCTGAAAATTACTACAGTGTGTCATAGAAAGTTAGCATATGCTGTTGAAGAAGTGCTGACAGTATACATGCCCAACACAGCCCTGTGATAGACCTTGGGTTGTTAGACAACACTGGGGGCAGTGAGATGGCTCAGCAAGTAAAGGTGCTTGCTGCCAAGCCAGATGACAATCCCTGGGACCCACCCAATAGTAGGAGAGACCAGTTCCTACAGGTTGTCCTCTTGACCTCCACAGGCATGTGTGTACCCTCCCACACATGTGTGCACCCTCCTGCACACACTAACTGTAAGAGAACAAGTGTATGAAGGAAATGCAGTGGCTCTACAACAGTGACATGACATGTGTGCACTTCCCATTCTGCCCGTGATCCCTGTTTTTGACAGCAGTCACCACATGCTCCTAGGTTTTCCTGAAACAATCCTTATGTTCTTTTTTAGTTTTGATTTGATTTGGTTTTGGGTTTTGGTTTTTGGTTTTTGGAGACAAGGTTTCTTAATGTACCCCTGACTGTTCTGAAACTTGAGGTGTAGAACAGGCTGGCCTTGAACTCAAGAGATCCACTTGCCTCTGCCTCCCCAGGGCTAGGATTAAAGGTATATGCTACGTCAGACTTCTTATGTTCTTTTTAACTGCACACATTAATAGACTGTTCCTTTAGTCTAAAACCCACTTGCGCACTTAAACAGACTCACATTAATTGTAATATTCTTTCTGCTTCTGATTTTTCTTCTGTTTATTCACTTAGTTGATGAGAGATTCGTGGGATCTCCTGTAGGGAAGATGAATATGTCTTTTATCTGTCAGTTTAGTGGGCAGTGGTA